CAGTATCAGAAGTAAAAGTGAGATTAAAACTTTTAAATAAAATTTATAAGAAGACAGTGAAAAGCATTCACTATGCTTAGAAGTAGTAGATAAAATACTATAATTAAAAACATCTTCTGATGAAGTTCTTGATAGAGAATTAAGTACTACTTTCAGCAAAGAATATCAAGATAATGAGACTATATAAAAAGCTTAGTGAGTAATGACTAGAATCTTTTCTAATAATAAGAGTGATAAGTAAGTAGATATATAAGTTGAAATTACTCACAGAATTGAAATCAATTCATTCTATTTTTCACATTTTCTATTTAAAGCTCTATAAGTAATATTCTGAGATAAAGTCATTTCAGCTGAATAGTATTGAGATTGAGAGTGATACTAAATATCTTATAAAGAAAATATTGAATAAGTGAATATATTACAGCAAGCTTCAATATCTTATTAAATGAGAAGATTATTTATTATCTGAGAATTTATAAGAACTGCTTGAGCATTTGAAAAATACTGAGAAAGAGATTGTAAGCTATGAGACAGCTAGTAGAGACTGCTCTATTACATATCAGAGATATTAAACAAGAAATATCACTTAAAACTTCTCATTTTTCTCAAAGAATTTTTTAGAGATAATCTCACAGTGATAAATCAGTATCTTATAGACTCTGTAGCACTCTTCTTCTATTTTCTCTCAAAGAGTTTTTTAGAAGTTTAATAAGACTATATAAGTATAAAATTCCTGAAGCAGTTAATAAGAAAGAGAAAGAAATATTTGAAATTAATAAAAAGATTAATATTAATTAATTCATGAGTCACTGCTAATCTAATGAGACTGCAGCTTATTAAAAAAGTAAAAAGAGAAAATCTCAGAGTCTACTCATTAATAATCACACTCTTATCAAACTTATTCTTCACTGTTAAAGTCTCTGATATCAGCATCTTTATCTGCTGAGAAGTTAGTACTATAGTACTGCAGAGAAGTATGCTATAGAAGAGTATAAGAGATGCTGAAAGTATTAACTTATTAACTTATAAAGTATCTCAGTTATCTGCTTCAACTGAAGTAAGATTCTCTTTAATCAGTAATTGATCTTCACAGTACTTTTAATAGTGATATCAGCTAATCTCTTCTTAAGATCAGTCATTCTGAGGTGTTTTTTCATCTCAGAGATTTACACTTTTATCTTCTTTTACAGATGAGTAAGAAGAATCTTCTCAGTCTTGATAAAATCTGTTAATACTTGAAGCTCTGAGACTCTTACTCTATACTGCTTAAGCATCTAGACTTCTTATCAGAGCTGACATGACATCTTTCTATGAGATAATACTTATAGAGAGACAGAAGTCATTATTACAGATGTAATGAAAATAACAGAAGTAAGAGAAGAAGTGAATATATAAGATCTCTCTCTTCTTCAACTGTTTAACACAGTATAGATAAGTAGTGATGTCAGCTAGAGACTGCACTGAAGCCTTCTCACAGAGAGAAGACAAAGAAATCACAGAACTCTGCAGACTCAACTTAGCAGTATTTCAAGCAGGACTCAGACATGCTGTGAGAGAGAAACTACAGATTGAGCTTCTCAGAGTCACTGTTTCTGAAATCAAGCTCTCTCTGAGTTTCTCTTCAAATAATCACATGAGGTCATATACTACTGTATTGACTGAAGAGAGAAGCAGTGTCACAACAGCAGTGAGAAGAGTAGAGAACAGACTGAATATGAATAAACTGACTGACAGAAGAAATGATATCTCACTACAAGGCATAGTGACTACTGCCACAGCTGTAAAAGAAGTAGAAGAAGAAGAAGATGTAATAATGAGAGTAATACTTCTGCAGCTCATTGACATCATCATCTCTGTCTTTAACCTGACTTTCTTGATAGTCACAGAGGCTGTCACTGCACTACAAAGACATTTGTTACTTACTAGAAAATATCAGAATAAGTCTCTTATTGTCTCTCAAGAATGATGCTCTCATGCACTCACTATTGCAGATGAGAGAAGAGGGAAGAAAAATGTGTCATAGAGAGAAGAAATCTTTTTGAAAAATCCTGCTACTACTGTTAGCTTTGTCTCTAAAATACATCACTTTTGCAGGGAATTTCATACATAGAATGAAATATGATAAGAGATCTGTAAGTCACTTATTAACTATATTTTTTCACATTTCAAATTGATATATAAGAAACCTACTTATCATGTGTTTAATTTGAATAAAGATGAGAAAAGAAAGATCTATACAGTCAGTAGAAAAACTCATCTATTTCTTTATATCACATGCAGTACAATTGATTGACAATCATTGCTATATAATAAAGATAATTCTTAATTCAGTAATCTTGAGAGTATAGAGACTATATTCTTAAAGAGAAGAGTATTATCATGCTTCTGACTGTGTCAAGACCTCACTGCAGTTTCACACAGCTCATTATTTCTATACAAATGATTTCATTCTGATCAAACTGGTTTTCAATCACTCTATAACATCATTCATATATATTATAGAAAGATTCAATTAATAAATATAAGAATCTTACTTCTATATGAGATTAGCAGATTACTCTTTCTTAATAACAAGATACTGCTGAGGTATCACTTCAGCTATTCTCACTCATGAAATGAAAGAAGAGTATCTGCTCATTGTCTATATAGAATAGCTAGATACTGACTTCTTATCAAAGAAGTCAGTGATTTGTCTTTTTCTTCTACTGAAATATATATAAGAGTTACTGTGTGTCTCATACAATCTTCTTAGTATACTAAGTATTATATCTGTAATATTCTCACAATAACTCTGTAGCCTACAAGCTCACTATTCAAGCAAGATAGTCAAGCTCACTTATACAGCTTCTCAAATAACTATCTCTATATGACACTGCTGACTAGTCACCGCTTCGGTTCCATCATATTACAATATTATATATATTATTAATCACAGTGAATATAAGAATTGCATTCATTATTATCTTCTCTTTAAATTATTATCATCTGATCTCTTCAAGCTTCTGTTTACAAATTTAAACAGAAGCTAATTTTTTCTCTGTTTCACTGAGACATTCTCATAGTTATTCTCTGAATCTTTCTCTAATACAATGTGATTGATATAAACAGACACTGATTCATTCTTTGAATAAGAAGACACTGATTCTTCTCTTAAATATGAAGATATATAGATTAATCAGCAGTTGAAAGCAATGTGTTCTGATCAGTTACAGTTAATATACACTTTACATTGATGTTGATCAGTGACTTCTTCAGAAGTGATTTTAGAGACTCAGAAGCCTGTTCAGACAGCAGAGACTCTTACTTATACATAGATATTCAAGTCTACTCAATTCATGACATCTGCATTATTGTTATTTCTCAGCACAGGTGTATAAGTCACTGAGATATAACATCTTCTATCACTGTTCTGTATATTCTTAAGCTTGATAAGATAGTTATTTATTATCTGAAGCTATATACAGAAGTCTTCATAAGTTGAGTCTTCATCTATACTTATAAAAGTCTGTAAGAGTTTGAAAGTTAATGTCTTCTTGAGCATGTTAATCTTTATTCAATTCTCTCAAGACTGATCACCTGCTTCTAGAATCTTAATATTAAAGTCAGAAATAAATGTTATAAGAGAAGTATTTCTCTGTCAGATACTCTATAATTAATCTAATACTTTCTGTTGCATGACAGTGTCTTAAAACAGAATATCAAGATATTTCATAATATTATCAGATATTCATAACACTGATTTACATACTTTCATTCATGAATGAAACTTCTATTTCATATAATCTTTCAATTATTCATTGATATATCAATCTTGATTAATTAATGAACTGATAACATCTTCATCTACACTCAGTTTCATAAGCATCTTTATTCTTTATAATGAGTAGAGAGTGAGATCAGAAGTATTAAAATATACAGAAGTATTTAAGTGTTCTTTCAGTGCTTTTATATTCAATTCTATAGATGTTGAAATTGCATGAGTTCTTATTAAATCTCTTCATATTAATGTTATTGAGTTGCATGCATATCAGCTATTTATTATTATTATAGTTTCAATATTGCTCAGAGTCACTGTAATACTATATCTATACTTATATTCAGAGATTCTCTCATATTATCATTAGACATGATTATATTAATTATCAGATATATAATATCTGTAAAAGTGTAATTGTATTCTTATATATCTGAGTGTCAGAACTCTCAGATCTTTTACTGATATTCTCTTATAAGATCTTATTCTCTTTGTAAGATCTTATTACAGAGCTAGAGTGACTGATAAGCAAGCTTCTATCTGAGAATTATCTGAGAACTCAGTGTTCACTTATTTGTGTTTTTCTCTTTCTTACATGTTGTTACACATTCAGATTTCTTCTCAATGAATAATCATTCCTGATGAGAAGACAATGTGTGAATAATTATTTTCTAATAAGAAGACAATGAACATTTTTATAGTGTAAGAGACCTACACTGAATAGATTGATATAATATTGATAGGTCTTATATAACAAAGATAAAAATGTTAGAGAAGAAAAGAAAGAGAAAGTGCAAGAATCAGTGATTGAGGTGGATATTTATACACATATGTGGTGGTGTATGTGGTGGAGCTTCAGGGTGGAAGAATATACGCATGTTTGTAGCGGCCGAGGATCAGCGATTGAGAATGGCCAAGAATCAGAGCATATGCTACGCGCGTTCATAGCGGCCGCGGATCGGTGATCAGGAATGGCCGAGAATCGGAGTGTATGCTACGCGCGTTCGTAGCGGCCGCGGATCGGCGATCGGGAATGGAAGAATCTATGGAGTGTAATGGAATAGTCTATATGATTGATCGGGCGCAGCCCGCCACAGAAGAGAAGAGAAGAGATGATATTAATTAGAGCTAGATTAAATAGATTACATAAATTACACTAAAACGTGGCAATACAGCTGATCTTTCATATTATCCAGTAGTTTATGTGTATTTAATATACTAATGTACACTCAAAAATACGCTAATTGTGTCCTCGCGGCCAGATGAGGGGATACAAGATTAACATTTAGTAGCATGTTGATATTCACCTTTTATGTGCAGGTTATAAGAGCTTGCACAGACAACTGAACACACTTTTAACTACATTGATGCATCCAGTCCATTTTTAATACATCTACTGTCTACCGTTCCAGCTCTCCACCATAACAGTAATAATTAAGAAGAGATGGTTGAATTACGGAAGCGCAAAGCTCCCCCTAAGCTCGTTGAGGCCAAGAGCAGAGCAAAAAGAAACAAAAAGGCGACAAAACCTGACGCAGCAGCAGCAGCTGCTGTTGTCGCTACCGAACCAGTACCTAGGATAGAAAAGGCCGTGAAGACGACGATAGCCTCTAGAGTCACACCTGTGACTACCTCATCGCAGAAGAAAGCTCCGAAGATCGGTGATACAATTGACCTTGATAAGATCGGGACTGATATCACTACTCACGATGGAACTCAGACGACGTTGAAGTCACTGGTTGAACAGAGCACTGCGGGCGTCGTTTTGTTCACCTACCCTCGTGCTTCAACACCTGGCTGTAAGTAAATGGTCGCACTTCTTTTATAAACAATGTGAAATGCCTGGTTCTCGCGTAGTGTTTAACGCGTATTCTAATACTTTGATGGGCATTGTTCCCGATATAATATGCTCATATCCTTCTCAAAGAGAAATCACTCTTCACTCTTTACACTCTTTACCTCAATGACTGGAAGCTTTTGCTTTTCCACTTTTATCTAAATAACATGCTGACCCAGCTAATCAATAAAACTTAATAAAAGGCACCACCCAAGTCTGTCTTTTCCGCGACCGATACGACAAGCTTACATCTACAGGATTGTCCATCTTTGGGCTCTCTGCCGACTCGCCCAAAGCAAATGCGAATTTCAAATCCAAACATAACCTCCCCTATACTTTACTCTGTGATCCTACAGCTAGTTTGATTGATGGTCTTGGACTGAAGAAAGTGCCCAAGGGAACTGTACGTGGTGTTTTTGTTGTGAATAAGGAGGGTAAGGTTCTCTTTCTGCAGTCTGGCGGACCGGCTGCTACGGCTGATGCTGTCCAGGAGCTGGTGGAGAGTGATTTGAAGTAATTGAATCATTTCTTCGTGGACAGAGGTAGTTTCTTTGTCAATAACTACATAAGAGAATAGGTCTTTGATATTGTGGCGGATGTATTACTTGCGAAAACAGAATTTTCCCAGCCCCCCCTGAAAATTAGTAGCAAAACGCTGCCAAAAAAATCAAAATATTCACATTTCTCTAGAATTATTCAATTATCATTCAATACACATCTTTATCAATCAAATATCAATCAAATATGTGTCTTTCTTACCTTTATCATCAATATACTATCTCAACTCAGTGATTTCATCATCAATGAAACTGTACACTTTCTTAAGAATAGTTATATGCCTGCTGAGATTGCATAAAGTATTGATTGCCATCTAGTCACTGTATATTATTATTATTCTTCTTCTTCTTCTTCTATTATACTCATATGCAAGCACAGCTTATGATGAGTCTTTGCGTGACATTAAATACAGGCCAAGTGTTGGTTATACAGGAGGAAATACCGGTGTTGAGACCACACCAAGATAACAAGAACATAGGAAATACAAAGGAGTGACAATTAGATACATGCAATAATAACTTCTCATCCCAGGAACATAGAGCAATTTATTGGAGTGATTTGTACACCTCTGTATTTATTAGAAACCTGAGGTGCTTGGGTTCCGGATTTAATGTATCCCCTGCGGGTTTCAAACCCACACGCCTTGGTTTCACCAAGGAGCTACCGGGTGGCCGTATTAACCATTCAGCCATCAGGGCAGTCACTGTATATTAAATTCAATGAAATCTTTACTGCTTTGAAACTACTAGCCAATTCATTGACATGAATATTCATATGAGTAGAAACTCAGTACAGATAAATTATCAGTTTTAATATTCTTCTCTTTTAAATTTTTATATCAGAATTTAAAATCAGTTTAAGATTTATTTAATTATTATAAATCTGACTATTTCTAAGTCTTTTTAAAGTAGACTGACCGTGTGACCGTGTCTGGGACCAGGACCAGATTTTTTGATAGTTTCATTACCAATTCGACTGATCCCATTACACGGTTTTAACATTAGATAGTAGTCTCATACTGTCCCAGTGAGACTTACTGTCTACTCTTGTCACATTTTCCAAATGAGACCATGATTTCCACTTCTCAATTTAAATTATTTTTATTGCTTTAAATGACTTTAAATCTCATTTGAGTGTTATCAAAAAGTGTTACTTTTTAAAAAATTAAAAATAGTCTAAAAAAAACCTTAAAATGTCTAAAAATAGTAACTTTATGCCAAGAATGGGACTAAATGAGACCAAATGGGATCACTTTCTCATTTTTTTCAAGTCATGGTTCCATTTTAAGATCTGATATATAGTCACTTTACCTGTTTTTTTGATAGCCAGTCCCAGCGGGATTCACGCCAAGAAATGTATGGGACCAGATCAAATGAAATCAAACGTGAAATTCATGGTCCCAGCGGCCAGTCTATTTTAAAGCAGCTTAATTATTAGAGAATATTTATATCTTTTTAAAACTATTTTCTCTTTTATAAGATTTTATTTCAATGAGTTTGAAAGCTTTCACTATTATAAATAGTTTAGTATTAAAGACTTCAGATTCACAGTCTGAATTTCAGAAATCTGAGAAAAATTAATATTATCTTCAGTATAAACAATGTCTGTATCTAATCTGTTTAAACTCTTATTTTGTAAGCTATCTGAGTAAATCAGAATAGAGTCTTTTATATTAATTATAAAGATCTTCTTTAAATACTGTTTATATTCTCTCTCTTTAGATAGTTCACTTATTTATAAGTCTATAAGAGATTTCAGCTTTTATCTTCAGAGAAATATCTTCTCATGATTAATTTTCTTAATATTTAATAAAGAAAATTGATTTTTAATCAGTGAATATAGTCTGTATAATTAAGAGAGTGTTTTCTTTAAAGAATTATTTTCATTTCAATTAAGAAATTTATTTCAATTTAGTTTATTTTCTGAGTTAATTAATAGAAATGAAGAAGAGACTCTTTTTCTAATTATATAATTTAAGCTTATCTTTATAACTCTCAGAGTATAAATTCATACAGATCTTTTTAAATTGAATAATAAAAGAAGAAATTGAAGCTTTAATTTTCATTATTTTAATAGAAGATGATTTGAATACTCTAATTCTTCTCAAAGCTCTGTTTTACAGACTTTGAAAGAGTTTAGTGAAATTTTCTTGATTATTTTATCAAACTTAAACTTTATAATTAGCTACTGAGATAATACAGACTATATATAACTATTTTATAGTCTGAAAGAATAGATCTCTCTCTGTATTTAATAGTTTAATTATACTATTCAGTAGTCTCTCTGTCTTGATAGTTTATTATTGAATATAATATTTAAAATTCAACTTGAAGTTTAATCATACTTTTAGTTATTTAATATTCAAACTGAGTTTAATCTCTTTATTTAAAAGAGTGAGACTTAGTTTTTTCTCATTACATCTGAAAAAAAGTGAATTAACTCAGTTTTATGTATATTAAATTAAATTAGATTAATATCTACTCTAATAAAGATTTTCTTTACTGCTTTTTCAATCACTTCTAAATTCTCTTTAATTGTTTTTAAACTATAGACTAGATTAATATTATCTATATAACTGAAAGATCTTATAATTTTCATCTCTCTATTCTTGAATAGATATACAGTGTACATTATAAATATAATAGATAAGATTAAAGATTCTTACAGTACTTCTATTTTTATCTCAGTCTTATTTTATTTCATTTTATTAAAGAATAGTTGTATAATTCTTTTAGATATAAAACAGTTAACTCATTTTATTTGTAAGAGGCCTACGCTGAATAGATCAGTATATTATTATAGATCTTATATAACAAAGAGAAAAATGTTAGAGAAGAAAAGAAAGAGAAAGTATGAGAATCAGTAATTAAGATGAATATTTATACATATATATAGTAATGTATATAATTGTAAGAATAAGTACTCGTAGGCGATTATTCAGGTGTTTGCAGCTTGATGTGATATGTACTGTTAACTACTAGAAGTATTTATAATAGAAAGATAAAATGTAGAGATTAAATATATAATAGCATTTAAGCTGAGTTATAAATAGTATTTGTGAACTTCAGTCTATATAGTTGTGTGTAGTCAAGAGCTGCTAACTCTATTAATTACATGAGAGATAGAAATAGAGATAAAGAATCTGTAAGAAGTAGAATTTCTTATATACTCTTCTCTCTCTAAGACTTTATCTGTGAAGCCTTTCACTGAGTGACTTTATAGAGTCAGCTCAGTACTGCAGTAATACTCACTAAAAATCCTTCATATCTATATAAAAAAAACCTTAGTGAGAAAAAATCTCTTATTATTATAAAGAGAAAAGAGTCTATCACTCAGTTTCTTATTTCATGAGATTCTTTATAATCTACAGATTCTTCTCTGACTATTACACAGATTCATCTCATATCTTTTATACAGAAGAATTCTGATTGACTCTCAATCATTTTCATGAGATTCTTATATAATCATCATACAGATTCATCTCACAGATGAATCACTCTCTGTGAGATCACTCTTATTAAAGAGAAGTATTTGTAAGTTGATTTTTCACTTATTCTCACAAATCATTATTCTTTAACACTGTAGAATTATGAGGAATTTTTCATTCTTTTATCAACTCTGTAGAATTATAGAATCAAGATATTCATAATCTGTAATCACTCTTTATAGTTATATAGAAAGATTTAGATCTGTAATTTACAATTACTCTTTATTTACTAGAGTAATCTGACTATTCTACAGAATCACTTACAGTGTAAATAAATCTCTCTAAAGTAGTATAAATATCTCAGATCTGTCTGTAGAACTTTATCTTCTTTTTTCTTTTTCTGTAACAGCTCTCATTCTTATAAACTGTGAGTATTCTTATTCATTCATGAAGTGTTTTTACTCAGATAATAGAGAGAGAGTATTTCTGACAATGTTTATATATTGATTTAAGAACTTCTTAAGAAGAAAAATTTTTTCAATTCTAATATATTTATAAATAATGTCTGACTGCTGCTGAGCTTCTTATAAGTATCTCTGCAACTTCTCTGATCACTTTTTATCAGCTGATAAAGCAGAGATATTACTGTTTATAACAGTATCTTTATCTCTCTCAGTCTCATCACTGCATCTGATCTTTGAACTAGTGATCAATTTCATGTCTTCTTCAGATCAGCTTCTAACTCTAAGCAGTGTAGTTCTACTCTTTGCTGTAAGTCTCTCTGTAAGTAATTTCTTACAGACTCTAGCTAATAGTTCTTATAAAGCTCTCAGTGTTACTAGTGTCTTCTGCAGCTCTGTAGATCTATAATTACTTCTCTTCTATCTGTACAATCTCTGATCAGATATATACAAATATGTCTAGATTCTCTATTAACAGTTCTCACACTGCAGCACATTTCTGCAATCTCATAGTTAATAAGAGATAAGTTTTCAGATATCTGTAAAATTCAGATAATTAAGACAATGAAAATGTCATGAATTTATAATAAGAGTTAATCTGAATAGATGAGCTCTCTCTCTATATCTCAATTGTTTTCAGACTGAATACTTCAGTATAACTGAGAAAGTGAATATAGCTTTATAAGAGATATCTGATTATATATACAGATGATCAGCTCTCAAGACTCTGCTGTAACTGTATATACTCTGATATCTAACTTTTCTGAAGTCTGTGTATTTCTGATAGTCTTTATATCAAATGTAATAATTGTCTGTATTATAGATATGATACTCTCTGCTTCTTTAAAGAGAAAAATTAATAGTTGTAAGAGAATTGAGTATTACAGATATTAAGAGTATAAGTGTGAGTTTTCTTTGTTTTTTCTTTATTAATCTCTAAATTATGTTTATAATCCTGTTTTTATTTTCTTTATTTTTTATCTTTAATAAGAGTATAATTTCTTCTTTTCTTTGTATACATTGCAGACTTGTTCATCTCAGTAGAAACTCATTATCTTATAGACTAGAATTTATAAATAACAGTATTAATATCTTTATTACAATCAGATTCTTAGCAAAGACTGTATCATTCTGACTTATTAGAATTTACAGTATAAAAGTCATATCTCAGCTTTCACAGATATCTTATCTGCTCAGATAATTCTTATGTAAACTTATTTATCTTATCAGAATACTCTTATCACTGAATCTTGAATCAGAGCTTATAATCTCACTTCTCTGAGTTAATAATTTCTTTAATCTAATATTCTCTTTCACTCTCTAGTACTTTATAAATAGAGTGATAAGTCACAGAATTCTCTTCTAAAAATTCCTTATATTTATAAAG